TACATGTGTAAATACACTGTAACAAAGTCACCTTAAAATAAAGTGTAATCAATTAATCTGAATAAATCATGTGAATATTTATGACTAAGATACCTAGTTATTAAAATACTGAAGTTTGAACTGAAATCTCAGACTTCTTGGAAAATCTGTCCTGAAACTGCAAAGAGGAGACTGTGTTCTTTTTCTCAGGACAAAAACATGAAGTAGAAGTCTATATTTTGTCTTAGTGTAATCTCAATGGGAAACAATTGAGATCGGATTTGTGATTGCACATTGCACAGGTGTGTGTACAGTAAGTGTGTGTGTATTCCTAGTCACTTGGTTTGTGTCTCAATACTTCAAGATTAAACATTGTGAGTTTAGGGACTGATACAAGACATTTCAGATGTCCATATTTCTCACAAGTGCCGGTTTGACCTAATCGTGGAAGAATGAAGAAAAGAGATGGACAGAGAGAAGACTTCAAACAAGAGAATGTGAGGTCAGATGCAGAGCCCTTTCACTTTAAAGTCCCTCATCTGGCTTTCATTTGTTGGATTCCATGTCTTTTACATGTACTGGCTGCAGTTCTCACAAGCTCCCGTATCTGGAGGAGTCACGTAATTCCAGGCCTGGCCAAAGAGTTCAGATGGTCCAGTCAATTTCTTTTTTTTTTTTTTTTTTACACCTTCTTTGGAGTCATCTTTAAAGGATACCTCTCAACACACACACAAATATTAATTTATATTTGAAATCAACATCAACCTCCTCAATTTATCGTTCAACCACCTCTTGTGATAAGCGAAGAGTGATTGAGAGACCGAAAAATTGAACGATTAGAGGAAAGCGGGGTGTGAAAAGAACCATTGATACAGTGTCCAACTAGTAGTGTGTCCAACACCTGCACTGCCTATTCACCCAAGTGTTTACATACTGTCATCCACAATTAATGGCTCTCAGGGGTAGGGCTGTCTGCCCTCTGTTGGGGCCCCAGACCCTTCCTGGGCCCTTATGAGTGCCTAATTGAGCATACCACCCTCCTGATTGAATTAACAGCTTGGTCCCAAGGACCTTCACCCCACCCTCTGTACCAGCCCGATGGAGGAGGGGGGGAAGGAGTAAGGGGTCGAGAGCGCAGAGTTGTCAAAATGTCAGCAAAGCGTGGCCCTTGCTGTTGGCAAAACCAAGCTAGAAATGTGAACTGGGGGCATTCAGAGGTCCCGGTCTTCGCAAGGACAGGCCTGCCAGGTGGGTGGGTGTGAGGAAAATAAAATAAAATTAATTAATTAAATATTTTGTATAAAAAGATGGGTTTTTTAGGACTACTGTTTTTTTTTTGCAGTCAAAATTATTTTCATGGCATATTTACAGTATGAATACATAATGGAAAATGGTTGCGTTATGACATTCATTTTTTAAAAGTACAGATATTATATGTATTCTTGCAATCAATATGAGCTGCAGTATAAAAAGGGCATAATAATTCAAAATAATACATAATTCTAAAAGAATTAAATACTGTTTTTATATTACATTTTATATTTCATACACCACGTCACGCCAAGTAACATGTCAACTTTTATTTCATGTAATTTACTAATAAATTAAAGGCAGTACAAGAAATACTACCATGATATACCTTTCATGTTTAAGGAAATTAATTATTTTATTCAGCAAGGACACATTAATTTAATCAAAAGCGGTCCTTTAGAATTTAACCTTTAGAAAATACTGAAAAACAAAAATATTATGCAGCACAACTGTTTTCAACATTTCTAATAACACACAATGTTTAAATTGAAATAATATTTAAAAATTTCAATTTTTTTTACATTTTCTTACATTATTGTTCAAACACACACACACATATATATATATATATATATATTCATGTGAGGAGGAGGCAGTTTCGGTTTCTTTGCTGTCAATAAGACAAAATATACCTTACAGTTGTAAATTAATGTTTGAAGGGAACTTTGTCCTTGAAGACAAATCAAATTCCAATAAGCTTCTACAAACAATTATCCAACTGCAGAAGACTTCACTTCAGTTGGGGTTTGTTGGTTACTTTTTATCCAGAATAAAGTCCTTTGAGGAAAGAGATCATGCTCTAATGTAATAATTAAATTCATATGTTTACCAAAAACTGTGTATCAATTTATATAATATTGAGCAAAGCCAGATTATCCATCCACAATGCACCAATTATAAAATCCAGTAAACTAAATTTGAGTCAAATTAATTGAAAATAGCCTTTGATTACTGGATCATGTGAATAATCAAAGTTTAAACATGAGGATTCTACAAAATCGTGCTATTACACTCCAGTATGTCAGGTTTCTATTCCACTATTTGTTAGCAGTAATTTAGACATGACATCATCATGGTTCATGAAGGAGATGTCATTCCATCAGCTAATAGTGCTCATAACTGAAATGCAATCCAGATGAAAAAAAAAAAATGTTGGGTCTTGATTAAGGCATAGAAACTTTTCCATATGTTTCCATTAGCTAACCCCAACCAGCTCCATCACTATACCATGCAACTCACCTCTCTGTGACCCCCAGCACAGTTTTGGGGGCATACTATTGTGAAGAGTGAACTATATCTCCCATAAACCCCCCACCTCATATCCCTCAATGACAAGGCAGCCTGCATGTTCCTTGATGTCACCCAGCTTGCTCACAGCTTTTCTGATGGGAGTCTGCGGACGGGGTCAATTAAACTCGCACTCTTCGTACACTGGGTCAGAAGTTTAGTGGGTCACCACCACAGACTCCCCCTTCAATTATCTAATCCTATTCTATAAAACGTCTCTCCGGATGCTCACGGACAATTAAGGACAATTGATGGACAATTAAGAAATAGTTCACCCAAAAGTAAAAATTCTGTTTTAATTCCTCACCTACATGTCATTCCAGTCCTGTATGACTTGATTTATTCCATTTAGTGAATTCTTGAAAAATGAAGTATTGGCCGCATCTTCTGTTGAATGTTATAAAAGTGTCAAAAGTGCTATAAATGACAGTAAAATAATAATTGACTTTTTGTAGATTAGATGGTTGATTACAGGCACGATGACATTAGTTGCTTGGTTTACAGTATTTGTTCCGAAGCCTTTTACGTAACAGCAACGCAGTTATGGATATAATGGATGTTCATAAATTCCTGTGGCATGAAAGCCAATGAGTGGAAGGTTGTTTTCACTGCTTGTCTTACAAGTATATAGTCAAATACTTAGACGTTTGATTGATAAAGTTGTATAGAGCAACCATAAATCATCTTCACGTCCTCCATCACTGTTTGATATCTCAGCTTCCCTCTACTCTAAGACCGGGGGCCAGTTGCATAAACATAGCACTATTTTAAGACTGGGTCTTAAGAACTGGTTTCACCAGCTAGCAGTAGACAAGAGGTAATTGGTCATACTTCTGAGATTCAAATCGTGGGAAGTCGTGGCCTAATGGTCAGAGAGTCGGACTTTTTGTAGATTAGATGGTTGATTACAGGCACGATGACATTAGTTGCTTGGTTTACAGTATTTGTTCCGAAGCCTTTTACGTAACAGCAACGCAGTTATGGATATAATGGATGTTCATAAATTCCTGTGGCATGAAAGCCAATGAGTGGAAGGTTGTTTTCACTGCTTGTCTTACAAGTACATAGTCAAATACTTAGACGTTTGATTGATAAAGTTGTATAGAGCAACCATAAATCATCTTCACGTCCTCCATCACTGTTTGATATCTCAGCTTCCCTCTACTCTAAGACCGGGGGCCAGTTGCATAAACATAGCACTATTTTAAGACTGAGTCTTAAGAACTGGTTTCACCAGCTAGCAGTAGACAAGAGGTAATTGGTCATACTTCTGAGATTCAAATCGTGGGAAGTCGTGGCCTAATGGTCAGAGAGTCGCGGTAATGGTTAAAGGTTGCGGGTTCGAGTCTCGTACCGGCAGGGATTGTAGGTGGGGGGAGTGAATGTACAGCGCTCTCTCCCACCTGCAATACCACGACTGAAGTTGCCCTTGAGCAAGGCACCGAACCCCCAACTGCTCCCCGGGCGCCGCAGCAAAAAAATGGCTGCCCACTGCTCCGGGTGTGTGTTCACGGTGTGTGTGTGTGTTCACTGCTGTATGTGTGCACTTTGGATGGGATAAATGGAGATCACTAATTCCGAGTATGGGTCACCATACTTGGCCATGTCACGTCACTTTCACTTCAAATTAGACCAATCTACCTTTTTGTAACTGAATTAAAAAACGTTTTTGAAAAACAAATTAGATGACTAACTTTTTAAGAATATTCTAAGGCATTTATGCATCCGGCCCCTGCAGGTGTTAGTAGCACTGGCTTTTTATCTTCTATCTAATCAGATTTATACCAGCGAAAGAGAAAAAGTAGTAGCCTAGTGTAAGACACCTTACCAAACCTCCTGCAAAGATCTTATACAGAGTTATACAATTAAGACACACTTAGAAATGTATGAATGCTATTGCATAAACTACCTAACCAAGTGGCATTTAATTTTAGGCAAACAGCTTTAAAGCAAAACATTTCACAACATGTTTTGAACAATTTTAAACAATAAAACAACTGATAGCTATACCATGCAAAATTATGACAAAAGGCAATCTGACCCTTTGGGCAAAATTGAGTTCAGTAAACATGTGAATAGCATAAAATTGCCTTAAAATGAGTTCTGAAGAAATGTGATCGATGTTTGCAGATATCATTGCATTTTATATTTAGTTACCAAATGCAATAAAATGCACACGGTTTTTAAGAGTATCTTGATTGCACAAAGATTAAAGCCATCGTAGATAGTAAGCGCCGCAGATTCCATCAAAGCCACGTTATTTGTGCATACTGCGTCCCCTAGCGTATAGTTTTACTTATTACACCATTGAACAGAAACATGTTTTTTCTTCCAAAATAAACACTGCTGAATTTCCATGTAGCATTTGCAAAATTCAGTTTGTGAATTCAGTTTCAAGTCTGTGTAAACCACACCGACAGCAACGTTCATGAACGGAATCGTTCGTTCTCCGTTCATATGGCCATAACAGGGGGACAGAGGGCTGATTATGTACGATATTTTTAGAGCGCAGTCACACGGAGGCGGAGCACAGATGCTTCACGGCCAAGGATGCGAGTGTCAAACAGCAGGTGGAGACTGACTGCTGAAGGAAAGAACCAGACGAGAACCGACCACAGAATCTCAAACACATTTGATGAGGAAGAGGGGAAATAGCAATGACCTGATATGCTTTAAACGAGTGGGACCTGATAACGGTAAGACTCTTTTTTATGGTCGTGTTCCTATATTCCTAGCGCATTCATGTCATCAGATATTATTGCGCTGGGTGTGATAGAGACCGCTTACTGTAGGCTATGCAAAATCAAACACATCTACTCTGGAAACCATCTGCGAAGTGTGAGGCTGTTTTGAGCATTTGTGTTTTTAGATGGCTCTTGCAGTATGTTTCCTTTAAAATCAGCGTTTCTTTACTATATACACAACATATGTCTTTTTGGGGCCTATGATGTTGTTGTTAATCGAAGCTTGCGATACACATAGTCTACACAACCAAATGTTTCACTAATATTGAGTGAACGAAACATTCCATAATTTTGACATGAAAAAATGACATCAAACTGATATTTCTGTTTATGAGTGAGTAACTGCATTATTGAGGTTTAGAGGCATTTGACAGACAGACATATAGACAGACAGACAGATAGATAGATAGATAGATAGATAGATAGATAGATAGATAGATAGATAGATAGATGCAGAGTGCAGAGATGAGACATATTGAAATGGTTTTACATACATGCATGATTGCATCTGAATCAGCCTCTAAAAATAGCAACTGCATGAGATCTTTAATATTGCCCCGCATGCATGTGTAACCTTATGCAATTACCCTGAAGCGGGAACCGTCATCACATACAGAAGCAGAGCGTAAAAAAATATGCATGCGTGTGCAAGCTTTGTGGCATCCCTCAACCTTAGATAGCACTCTTAAGCTTTGATCTTTAGACAGAACATAATAATCCCTGTGATTCCACAAATCTGCTTGTGGGTTATCCAGCACTGTCATTGAAACACTGCAGTATTCATTTTGTGTGTGTTCTTTTTTATACAGTGAATCATGGTGGACCCATTGGAACCTGATGACCTGAGTAAATTCAGAGGGGCCCAGTTTGAAAGCCCTGCTGCAGCCTCTGAAGCACCATGTCTACCTGAGCCAGGTGATGATAGCGAGAAAGATGTTAGTGTGGATTCCAGCCCACAGACAGAGCCCAGTACTGAACCTAGTCAACCAGAAGAGCTAAAACTACATCTGGACCTTTACAATTTTGACTCGCCAGCTGCAGAAGGCAGCCGGTATGTACTGACAAGCCCTCACTCTCTTGAGGCATGTGCACACTGTGGAGTGAAACCTGTGGAGCTTCTGACTCGTCCGCTGTCTGATTTTGCCCGTGAGGCACCCGGCCGGAGTATGCGTGTCGCCACAGGAATGTTTGAGATATATGAGCGGGATAGACATGCTAAACTCCGACACTGCAGAGAGGAGAGAGAACGGATTATCAGCGAGGAGAAGAGGCGAATTCTGCAGGCAGCTCTCAACAATAATCTTGGTCCACTGGCTTCAGAGAAGTCACAGGAAACTGTAAATGCTGGATTGTCTCAACAAACCAATCACAGTTTAACAAATCCAGCCCCCAAAATAACACCTACTTGCAGCGGTGCACCTAAAAAACAATCTACATCAACTACCCCTAAAAGCACGACAGCAGGGTCAGGACAAGTTATTACAGTGTCCACATCCAACTCTCCACCAAAAGTCAGTCCAGTGAACTCTGCTCCTACCGTTAAAGGAAATTCTGCAAAAAAGTCCCTTGAAGTAGAATCTGGGGGAAAACCTCAAGGTCCAAAACCTTCAATAGTCCAACGATCAATTCAGTCAGCTCCAGGAGGTCAGGGCTCAAAAAAACCCTCTAGTGCTCATACAAAGGCTCCAAATACTTTCCCCAGATCAATAACAAAACCGTCTTCCTTTCCAAGGACACCAACTTCACTTGCCCCAATAGTGTCAAAATCTGCTGTCCAAAGTCCTGCCAATGGCATCACAAGTACATTTGCACAGCATAATGGGCACATCATCTCCAAATCAAAGGTTAGATGCAGAAGCCACTCATTGGAGTCTTTGCAACGCAGACGTGACACGTTTTGTTCCTCTACTGCTTCAACAACAAACACTACAACTACCACATGTACTTCCTCTGAATCTGCTTCCTCATCCTATAGCTGGGATGGGGCAAGAGATCACTGGGCTAAGACATCAAGTCCTCGTGCCCGCACTTTAGCTACCTTTAACTCCCTAATTGGTCGCAGTTTGAGCTTGGGAGACCTTAGCCACTCTCCACAGACTATGCAAAAAGTGGAGCGCATTGTGAAAGAGGTGAAACGACGGGGACTTAAAGCAGTCCCAGAACGAGACCGAAAGATTGCTGCACTAATGCTAGCCAGGTACCAAGAGGAGGACATAATGAGCCAGACACGCTACGTAGCACACCTGCAATGGGACAGTGAGCGCAGACTAGAGGAGCTACGAAGGGAACGTGAAGAACGGGAGAAACAGAGGGCTGTGCAGCAGTGCCAGCGTGCATGGCAGTCACAAGTTTCTACCCGGCAGCGCTGGCTTAACCAGCAGGAGCGTGAGGCTGCAGAAGCGAAACTTCGGCAAGCATTGGAAACTGAGGAGCGTTGGAAGGAATTGGCTGAGCAACAAGAACGCAGCCGGTTGCAGAAACTGCAACAGACTGCTCGTGAGGAGAAACACAAGAAGGCATTACAAGAACAGAACCTTAAAGCACTGGAGGAGGAGCGAGCTGCTATTCTTGAGCAAGAGAAACTGCTCCTTAAGGAAAAACTGACCATTGCTGAGTTGAAGCGACAGGAGCGAGAGCATCAAATTCAAGAGGAGCGTCGTGGACTCAACCGTGCCGAGAAGAGGCGCCATGCAGCTCTTATCCAAGAGATTGCACGCAGAGAAGTGGACGAGCGTGAAGAAGCACAGAGAATAGCTGAAGAGAAGCTAAGTAGGTCTTTGGAGAACTATGAGCAAATACAAGAAAAACGTGGGCAAGAGTTAAAGGAGAAAGCTAAGCGGGAAGAGAAGCAGATCCAGAAAGCAAGACGGGCCGCTGAACTACGTGAGCAACAGCAGAAGGAACAGATGGAGGCAAGGGCTAGGGAGGCCGAAAGACGAGCACAACAAGCCACTCAAATAGCTGAAGACCGGGCGCGGGAGAAGGCCCAACGTGTGGTGCAAAGCAGGCAGGAAAAAGAACGACTCCAAAGGCTTAACCGTCAACGCGTAGAGGAGGAGGAGAAACAGCGTCGCCTAGAATTGTTACAGTCCATTGAGCGCAAACTGGAAAAAAGTGAACAGATTTTCAGAGAAAAACGTGCAGTCTTGGAAAGTGCCCGATCCGTGGCGCGTGCATCTTTCCACGTGCGGGATCGCGTTCGGGAAGAGACAAACATGCGCACCTTTGACAAGATGGCCCTGGAGGCTCAGTTAAAAGCAAATTTAGTTGAGAAGTGAGCACTTCAACTGTGCAACTTAACTGCTCTTTCCATGCACATCTGTCTAGAAATAAGCTGTGCTTGAGCCTACATGCTAGCCTCATCACCAAACTACAGCAACAATAATGATGGTCATGCCCTCAAGTGTTGTATCTAAAGATTCATTTATTCCTGATGCTGGATCATTTTCATCATGTCATATAAATAAATATTTTTTTGTATTCATATATTTTAAATGTTAATCTAAGAACTTTGTGCTGATGTATGTATGATTATGTGTCGGGGCATGATTGTTTTTTTGTAACTTGGCAGCCGTGTTGCTTTGAGAACTGTATATTAAGAGTTAATTGTTTACAAGGAGGTTTGGCACTGTGGCAACAGTGATGGCTTCTTTCTAAGGGTAGCTTTATTCCTTAGAAGAAGGACAAGAAAAGGGGATGGGATGTTTCTCCCAGAGTAAATCTTTTGAGGGAGACTCTTGTTTTAGAAATCTTGGCCGTTGGAGAGTGAGCCATGACTTGACTGTGTGTAAACCAAACTCTAGCTAAATGCTGACCCAGCATTACATCCTAGAGTCAGGACATGACAAAGAATGATCTCAGCACAGTGTAACTGCTGATGAAGCACAGGAGTCTTTGGTCAGCAACAGACCCATCAGGGCTCAAATCCATACTGACATCCCCTGCATTCCCTTCAGGTGTGCTTATTTATTTTATTTTCTCACAAGCTTCATTTTTGGTATTCTACTTCTCATCCGGCATGTTCAGAATGGAATACTAGCTTACTTCTTACTGTGTGGTATAAACTAAACATCAGTGCTCATTATTCAGAAATATTTGACCACTGAATTCAACTAACCAATTAATCAATTTTTCCGAGGGCTTCATTATTGTAACATGGCATTACCTCATCACAACATGTCACTACGATTAAGGAAATAAATATGATTAATTTGCATTCAGCTTTGAGTTAAAATGTCACATTTTGGCAGTCCAATAAAACAATGACTCAAATGCAGAAAGTGGAGTGCATTGCATTGAGGCATACAGTGTTTCAGTATGCTTTTTTTGTATAATGCACATTTTGGTGTCAGGACATACAGAAAATGTGCATACTATGCACAGGACACATACTAGCTATATACTGCAGAAATAGTAAGTTCAGTAGTACATCTTGCTATTTTGAACATTGCCTGAACATTAATGGTTCACACATGTCCATTATCATCACATTAAAATAATGCTTGTGTGATAATAATGGGTGCATTGAAGCCAATACGAATGTTCATATTACATAACACTTTAGTATTTACGTTTTACGTCCATTGTGCTAGAAATGCCATGTCATCCTGGTACATATCTAGAGGACAGGGTTGGAGGAGAGCTCACATCGATATCTGTGAGAAAAGCACTGCAGTAGGCATTTCAATTCCTATGAGAGCTTAACCCACACTGATGCTTGGCACGGCATGCCATCTGTCACAGGCTTTTTTTGTACTGTACAGCAGTCAACAACCTGGACACAAACTGTTTTTAGTGCTAGCACATTTTTCAGTGCCTCTACATACAGGCTCTTTAGATAATTAATGCATGATAACTTGAACAACACATTTATATATTCAAATTTGTTATGCAAGCAAGTCTGATATTGCAGCTTAATTATTAGTTGTTTTATATAACAGAGTGAAAAGCAAAGTTTCTGTGCAATAACTGACTGTTATCTGGTTTGTCTCTTCTGACGCAGGTTTGAGAGTGGAGAAGATGATGATGTTGACATCTGTGGCCTGATTCAGTAAAAAAAAAAACAAGAGACTGCAAATTTCACTTTGATCATGGATCCTTATTCCCTTTCTGGCAGTGACTCAGCTAGGCATGATGTAATTGGAAGGTTTAATAAACACTAAAGCCATTTTACTTCCAGCATATCCAGATGGCATATCAACACCAATTTTAATATCATAAAAAGCCCAAAGAAACAATTTCATTAGTACAATTTCATATTGTATTATGGGTTAAATGTAAGGGCTTTTTAAATGGAAGCAGAATCGAGTTGAATAATAACCAAGCTAATAATATCAGTTTCATGAAGATGGACAAAAAAAAAAAGGATTCTGAATGTAATTCATAACAAAGCTTTTTAGGGCTAGTGACAAAGCAAGTGTTAATTACAGATGAATTAAACAGATGTATTTAATATACAGATGTTATATTAAAAACATTGTTTTGTTAAAATGTTTTGTTGTTTCTTTTATTTTAAGTGTAAAAGTATATCTCATCAAATTGTTATATATTTTGTCTCAACACTTTTTTTTTTTGTTATCTGTAATGAAAATGTTTTCTGTAGGCTACAGATGCTTCATTTCTGGTTTATTAAAAAGTGAAATGCAGGGTGATGCTTTACTTGAGAACCAACAATTCAGTTTTGAAAATGGCATACTGTATTAAAAAAAAAGAATAATAAAAAAAGAATTAATTAAATCTGAATTATTTAGTTGTGTTATGCTTCTGGACATAACAAAGTTATATGAATTCACATTACGTCTTTTTTTTTCCATCTGATTTTATAAATTAATTTGGACGGGTTAGTAAACTTAACCCAGTAACTACATATTTTGTCAAAATTTAGTTCTAGCTGAAATCCTGTGATCTCTGTCCAGTGATAGACAGGTTTGGCTCAACTATGTCAGAGTGCAACGGTCGAAAATATATATATACATAAAAAAATTAAAAAAAAAAAAAATGCATTCATTTTCTCCATTCAGAAATGGATCTTTATTGATAACTTGTAGGCTTTTGAAATACGAGTCAATCTCCATACACTCTCAAACTACATAAATATTTGTATATAAATGCATATTTTGCAATAAACATAAAATATATTGTTTATATCTTTAATCCATCATTCTTTTAATCTTCATTCTTTAAATCTTTAAGTCCATTTTTAATTTGATTATGTCATTTGCAATGCTTCATGGGATTGTAGTTCTTTCCCCCATTAAAGCTGTCACGTAGGCAGGCCTTCTACTGTAGTCTTTTTGTCTGGTTTTCAAATATTTTTTGCTTCAAATCAGTTTGCAATGTTGTGATTCACCTCATAGCTGGTTGGTTTGGTTCATGTCTTATAACTGTGGAACAAAGACTTTTTTTTTTTTAAATGAAATTTTTTTATTTTCAGTTTCAGTTTTGACAGTTACTGTGTTGTGATTTTACAGGTCAATGTGCTGTTTCTCCTTAGGTTTCAAATACATTTTCATTTTAAGGACATTTATTTTCACTAAAAGCAAATCTTTGACATTTCGTAGCTATATTGTCCTACAGTGTTATGAATTTACAAGGACAAAATATGAAGGACACATAGTCCCAAACTATGACAGCACACTGCATGTGTAGATTACTGAATTATGAATGTCTAACTTTTCACCAGAAGTTGCACAGCATAGAGCAGGATGACAAAACAACTTCCCCTCTCTCCCAGGATGTCCTGTCAGAATATTGTTAGTCCTCAGACTGAACGGTCTTCTGGCGGCTGATGATCTTGTAGGCCCGCTGTCTCAAACAGCTGTCTGAAGTCAGACGTCGGGCTGTTTCTCTCAGCTCTTCAAGACTGGTGGAGGAGGCACCACGAGAGGAGGCAAATGATTGAGAGTGCTTCACTGCACACAGGACAAGAGAAGGTGAAGTAAATATATTTAGAGTAAATTTAACCAAAACTTGAAGCCATTTGGGCAATTCCACAAGATGTGGCATTAGTGTCTAACACATATTTGTAAAATCAATGAAATAACAATTAATAGCTTATGACAACTATTACTTAATTTTAAACATACAGTGCCCTCCACTAATATTGACACACTTGGTAAATATGAGCAAAGGTGGCTGTGAAACTAGATCTGCATTGTTTATCCTTTTGATCTTTCATAAAAAAACAAACAAACACAAAATTCTAACCTATCATTGAAATAAAATAATGGAAAGTGGGAGGGGGGGAGGGTGTCTCATTATGGAATTAATGTTTTTCTATAGTTTGCACTGTCCTTTCCCCAAGATAACAGCTCTGAGTTTTCTGTTATAATGCCTGAGTTTGGAGAACATCTGACAAGATCAGAGAACATTCCTTCATACAGAAGGATTCTCAGATCCATGTTGGCACTTCTTCTCTTCAGTTCACCTCACTCATCTTCTATAGGGTTCAGGTCAGGGAACTGGGGCGGCCATGGCAGAAGCTTCATTTTGTGCCCAGTGACACATGTTTGTGTTGATTTTGATGTTTGTTTTGGATCATTGTCCTGATGGAAGATCCAACCGTGGCCCATAATAAGATTTCTAACAGAGGCAGTCATGTTTAGATTGTTTATCTGTTGGTATTTGATAGGATCCATGATGCCAATATCTGAACAAGATGTCCAGGACCTCTGGCAAAACAAAAATAGGCCCACAACATTAAAGATCTGGCAGTATATTTAACCGTGGGGGTACTTTTGATCCCTGTTTGCACCAAACCCATCTGGTAGGTTTGCTGCCAAAAAGCTAATTTTTTAGTTTCATCTGACCATAAAAGTCAGTCCCGTTGGAAGTTCCAGTCGTGTCTGACAACTGAATATGCTGGAGTTTGTTTTTGGAACCCTCCCGGATAACATGTGGTGATGTAGAGGCTGTTTGACGCCAAGACTCCACTAATCTCTGCGATTCTCCAGCTGTGATCCTTGGAGAGTCTCAAACTCTCCACCTCACTGTGCATTAGGACGATATAGACACACATCCTCTTCCAGGAAGATTTGTAACATCTTTAGTTGATTGGAACTTCTTAATTATTGCCCTGATGGTGGAAAAGGGGATTTTCAATGCTTTAGCCATTTTCTTACAGCCACTTTCTCTTTTGTGAAGCTTAAAAACCTTGTTCTGCTTAAAAAAAAAAAAAAAAGTAAATATGAATGGGAATATACTTTTTTGAATATAAGAATTTCAAGGGGTGCCAATAATTCTGGCCAACATGCATTGGAGAAAAACATTGATTTCATAATGTGAGATTTATTTTCACATCATGTAACCGCCTTTGCTCATATTTATCAAGGGTGCCAATATTAGTGGAGGGCAATGTATCAACAAAAATCCAGTATTTTATTGCAATAAATATAATATAACTATAATTAATCTTTTGTCATTGAATAAGTATGCTCACTCAGGCTGTATTTATTTGATCAAAAATGAATGAATGAATGAATGAATGAATAAATAAATAAATCTATATTAATATATTTAAAAGTGTAATTTCTGTGATGGCAAAGCTGAAATTCAGCATCATTACTCCAGTCTTCAGTGTCACATGATACTTCCGAAATTATTCTAATATACTGATTTGTTACGCAAGAAACATTTCTTATTATTATCAATGTTGAAAACAGTTGCACTGCTTAATATTTTTGTGCAAACCATGATGCATTTTCTTATTATTTGATGAATAGAACATTCAAAAGTACATTTATTTGAAATATAATCTTTTTTAAAACATATAATCTTTCGCTTTTAAAATAATTCAAAACCACACTAATAATTCTATCAAAAAGTAGTCAAATTAAAGTCAAATTACGAAGAAAAAAAAGTTGCATTTAACATGTTAACAGGTTAATATTAAAGGGGTCATATGACGCGATTTCAAGTTTTCCTTTCTCTTTGGAGTGTTGTGCTTGTGGTGTTCGGCCAATCACAATGCACTGGGTCAGCTGGCCAATCAGAGCAGACTGCGCTTGTCGGAAGGAGGGACTTTGTAGAAAACGAAGCGTTTGAGAGAGGCGGGGCATAGAGGACCTACAATAATGTACAGTATTTGAAAAATAATGTGTTTTTTGAACATTAAAGCATGTCAACATATTCTGTTACACCAAATACACAAAATAATGATCTTTAAAAAAGCATCATATGACCCCTTTAACTTATATATGTATTAAATGTTTAACAATTTACGGAAAAAAAAAATCCTTCAATCAAACAAAAAAAAAGGGGTAATAGCAGAATAGCAGATTTCTCAGAACACCAGAATAAATGCATAGGTCAGCTCAATATGAAATTATCACTAATGGTATTATTTAGTTATTTAGTATAATTTCATCATGTGTGCATACGTGTAACACTTACACCAGTGCTGCCTGGAGGCCCGTCTCTGGATACGGCAACTTTTGATGCGTCGAGCAGCAGCTTTATGCAGATACACGGCGTTCTTCATGATGGATGGTAACTTGGCTTCGATCTCCGCAGCACAAATACATTCCTCAAAGAACTCTAGAGGTACAATGCACAACATTAAAGGGATAGTTCACCCGAAAATGAAAATCCTGTCATCATTTAATCACCCTCATGTTGTTCCAAACCTGTATGAGTTTCTTTCTTCTGCTGAGCATAATATAAGATAGTTTGAAGAATGCTGGCAACCATGCCTTAAATAAATGGACATTACTGTATAAATGCAAATTAAATCCTAATTTTTCGAGTTAAATTGCAGTACTAATTTACTTTGCTGTTGGCAAACTGGGTTTGGATGCACTTGACTTTACAAAATTAATATTTTAATTTATTCATTTATTTTTTCTTAATGGTTGAGCTGGAACGGATATTGAAGAAAAGGCTGCCAACATCCCAGCATGCCTGGGAACTCATTCAGTGCCATTTTAAAGCCTCCCAGGATGCACATTGTAAAGACAGTATGTGGTGGCAATGTCCTTACAAATAAGGTGGTTTAAGTATTTCTACTGACTCATAAGAAAATGGACCAGCTGCACAACCACACAGACAACAGCTGCCTCTTTTTGCTTTATGTTTTCAATAAGCCCTCTTTTTGCGCTGGTGGGAAAAAAAAAATTAAATCCAGAGTTATATAAATTATTTTTATTATTAATTATTTATTAATTTCTTGATCAAAATGCAGAGGCTTCTTAAAGTGTACTAGTTCACCCTTCGTTTTTTTTTTTTTTTTTTTGATTAAACCTGAGAGGTTTCTGTTCAGGTAACTAAAACTTTGTAATTACGTTATAAAGGCGTCGTCAAACAAATCCATATGAATGCTTTAATTCAAGTGTAAATAATCTGTTTCAGGTTTCATTAAAAAACATCTTAAAGAGGTCATATGGAGTGTTACAAGCTCTTGGTGCATAAAGAAGATCTGTAAAGTTGC